ATCCTACCCAAAATAATGCTACTTTTGCAATAATATATCAATGCCCACACATACTGTGTGAAGAATTTTGAAAAGCAAGGTAGACATAGCAATAAATTTACCAGCTTTCTTTACATCAAATGTTCAGCATATTTTCAGTTCAGGATGTATGCTAGAAGCAAATGTAAAGATGCAGTTTCTACTTAAGAATGGGATACAGTTTATTGGCAACAGAGAAATACACTTAGTATTCCTGGAAAAGGGAGTAAGAAGTGAAAAAATGATAATAAAAGGCAGAGCCTTAATTTGCAAAGATGAAAGAAAAAAAGGAAAAATTGGTCTCTCTTCCCCCAAACCGCAGAAGATCATTGTTTCTGTTTTTGAATACAGTGTCTTTATTTTAGAAATAAATCTTGAAAGGAACATACATTGTATCATGAATTCCTTGAACTTTTCGATGTGGTTGTTTGTTTTTCATGTACATTTGGTCAGAGATGTTTGAAGACTTCTCTGATTTGAAAATTGGCAGAAGATTCTACTCTGCTTTATACTTTGCAGGGATTTTCCCCAACTATATTAAGCTGTGCTAGAGATTCTTGTTTCCAAAGAATCTTCCAAAGACTCTTATTTCCAAAGAACCAAAAATTACAATAATACAGAAGGGTTTCATGGACAGGATGAAATGATTGCTTACATTTTTTGCATGAAATTTGTTTGAGATCAACTAAAAATTTCTTCAGCAAATTAAAAAACAAACAAACAGGAAAACAACACTGTAGACTTTGGTTGAAATCTGTCAAATTGCCTTAGGGACTATTCCATTATTAAATATTTTCTAATTCTGTGATCAAAAATTCTATAATGTTCAAAGAATCATGTTCCTATCTTATTAAATACATAGATTTCACTAAAATCTGGGAGAAAGCATATTTTGCTTATACTCAAACTTTTTTTTAGTCTAAAATGGATATGATTTATTGCATTCTAGTGTTTTCATTGTCATTTAGCCTTATTTTATTCAAATATGGTAGTTTGTGATATAAAACATAATTGGAACATATATGATATACATTTGTGTAAGGAGATAAGTTGCTTCTTTGTTGCCCATTGTTCCTTTAGTTGGAACTACATTCCTATAATTTATTTTTCATCAATTTTAGATTTAAGAAGAAGAATGAATATATTGTATATTCCTTTTCTGTTTTTAGGTTGAGTGTTTTCAGACTTTATATATCTGGGTCTGAGAAAGATGTATGTAATATAACTGAAGACTTTAAATTGATATAACAGACCCAAACTTTACTTAAAGGGTTTTCACTGATATACAAGACTCTAAGAAATGCACCTATACTTGTCATAAATCCCTCTTTATGCTTATAGTAATCTGAAGTCATCCTCAAACATCTTCCATTATTTTATTATGGGCTTTGCTAAGGAGTAATAAATATTTGAAAACCTTTACCAAATTAAAATATTCTTAGCTAATACTAAGGAGCGGCATACCATATTTAAAATAAAATAAAATAAAATCTTATTTGAAGCTAAGCAAGGAAAATGCACGTATTATGTCTTCAAGAGATGTATATTAAAAACAATAATGAAAACTATTGGAATGCAAATATCTCAGTAAAAAAATTGTGGGCATGGCCAGGTGGGAAAAAATAGAGTGGCCATACATGTGAAAAATTTACTGTGGAATCTGGAAAAACAAGATGAAGAAGGGAGATTTATAATATTACATTTTCAGAATGAATTTGGGAAAATAATGGTTGCTTTAATTTATGTCCCAAATGATAACAAAGCTTAATGAAAGATTTTTTTTCAAGTACTTTTTGAAATGCAGAGGGAAATAATTGAATTTTTGGAGACAAGGACGTGTTTTTTCCCCCTTCCAGATATAGTTTTATATGAAAGGAACTGTGATAAATTCTATTAGGTTACATGTGATTACCACTTCTTTTTGATGTGTGAAGATACAAACACCGTGCAGAGAAAAATATACTTATTACTCTTCAGCTCTTAATACTTTCTTGAGAACAGATATGTGCTGGATTTCTAACTCATTGCGTACTAATCTCATAGCTGTGGAAGTTGCAGGTCCTACATATAACCCAGTAATTGTGTTTTTTCTTATATATTGCTTTTAACCTTTTAATTGTAAGCTGCCCAGAGTCATTAAGAAATTGGGTACAGGTAGTCCTTGCTTAACTACCACAATAGGGATCAGAAAATTGGTTGTTAAGGGGGCAGTCATTAAGCAAGTCACCATATGACTGGCCTCGATTTTATGTACATTTTTATAATGGTAATTAAGTGAATTATGTAGTTGTTAAGCAAATCATGTGGTCGTTAAGCAAATCCACCTTCCCCAATGGATGTTTTTTGCTGGAATTTGCTAAACAACTGAGTGATTCGCTTAATGATCACATGAGTTACTTAACAACCGCAGTGATTTGCTTAACAACCATCATAAAAGAGGTTGCAAATTGTAATCATGTGACCGCGAGGGTGGTGCATCGGTTTGCAATGGTCATAAGTGTTTACAGGTCATAAAGCACTTTTTCCAAGGCTTATTGTAACTTCTAACTGACATTAAATGGACGGTCATTAAGTGAGGACTACCTATAGTTTGAAATTGAAAGAAAGAAACTTAACCTTATTTTCTTTTGTCTCTTTTTAATTTTTTCAAATGCCCCTTTCCCTGGTATTGTTGTAGCGGTGCACAGATAAATTTGAGGAAGGAGTGCAAGAACTGTTAAGAGAAAGCAAACAGTAACTCAGAAACTCCTGGGGAGGGAGGAGGCATGAGAAAGAAACTCAAGATAGTCCTGCTTGAGTCTGTTTGGCATCAGAGCGTACAGAGGAAAATTCTGGCATGACTTCAAGATTCTTTCAAGATTCTGTTAATATACCCTATAGCAATAAAGTAACATTCCCATAATCCTCGCACTGTCTGTTTCCTGATTTGGCCTACTTCAAACAGCTCTCAGTTGTATATGTTGCAGGCACTGACATCTTTTTTTACTTACTTTTTTAACATACATGACTGGTTTTGCTGTGCAATTTGATAAATTGGGCTTTTCTACCAGGATGATGTTTGGGTAGTAAAAGTATGCTTTTTTGGTATTATTTCTTTCAACTTGTAACCCTGGCATATTTATTATCATTTCTTTAGCATTTTCTTAGACATCTGATTATGTGACACATAAGATAATGTTCTATTTAATATAATTGTTTCATTATTTTCACTAAAAAAAAAAGGAAATACTGTATGTCCAGATTTCATGGGGATTTCTCGAATAAAATATGTAGCTAAAGAAATTATACTTAGGGCAAATTTCCCCAGTAAACTAAAAGACTGAATTGCGGTTTGTCTAAATCCACCCACCTTCACAGATGTGCAAAATTTTAAATGAGAATAACTATAGATAATTGACAATATACTACACCCACTGAAAGTGATATATTTCCATTCTTATTCTTACACAGAAGTCAGATATCATACATTTTTCTCACCTATATTCTGTATTTTTAATTACCTGCCCAATACACCTACTTAGTTATTAATAGAAATGCTGATATAGACCATATACTAAGAAAGGCACCAAGGGGAAGAAAATTTGTTACTAATAAGTTCAAAAGGTAAGGTAAACCTCTAGAAAAATATCTGTATTGGAAAGAGTAGACAACATGTCAGTGTGTGTATACAAATATAAATATTGCCTTTTTAAAAATTAAGAATTTCATGAATGAGTAGCAGTAAAAGCCTTAAATTATACCGAAAGTGGTTCAGGAAAATTGGAGAGAGATATTTTCCAGAATATTTAGAATTTTACCCAAATCAGATTTAAACTGCAGTTACTATTTGTGGGAAGTTTATGTTACCATGTTAAATCTGGGTTTCTATAGAAAGCATTATTATTGACATTAACATTATCAAGCAAATATCTGGAATTTATGTTTAGAAAAGTTTGTTTATCAAAACAGTAATCAAAAGAAAATTTGTTTGATACACAAACCTACAATGGTTCACAAAACATGGTTTAACTTTGCACGACAATCAATAAAATGAATTGGCAATTCTGTAAAAATATTTCAAACAAAAACAAATGACGCAATCTAAGATGTACGATACTCCTCTGCTTCTTCGACTGAGCTAATGGTGGAGCAATCTAGATCCGAATCACCATGGAATATAACCTTGCACCCCACGCCAGCCCTTAGTTTAGCAAACGTTCTTCCCACACAGGAAAAGCTCACAACAGCTATATAGGACTAGCAGCTGTTGTAAATTTATTGTTATTGCTGTTATTAGTAATAATATCAAAATTCCATTCTACTCAAATAACAACATAAGTTCCTATCAGAATTCTTTTCCTTTTGAACCCACCAATTATCACAACAGGGAAAATTAGTTTACTTGGAAGAATTAGTTAACTTTCATTGGGACAAAAATATTCATGCCTGGGTTACAAAGGACATGTTTTGTGGTACATAAAGTTCCTCATCCTGGACATTTCCTTCTTTCTTGTTTTACAGTCATTCTCCTGCTGTATAAAGTATGATTTACTCATTTCCTTGTCATGGGCAAATATCCAGTATGTGTTAACAGTGATCAGAAAAGTTCCCTGTTCATGTGAGAAAATAGCATAGAAAAATATCTGATAGGAGGTGGTTATCATGGATGGTGGTTAGGAGGTAATAAGTTTACTCTATTTTTGTTTTGTCTGTGCAACTCCACCCCTTCCAGACAGACTGGAAGACAACATGGAAATTGCAGTTTGCGCACCACTTTGAAACAGCTACCTTTTCACATTAATCATAGGCTATATACTTGAGATATTCTGGGAAGCCCCTTTTATGAAAGAGTCAAATACAAGTTCTAATGCTTTTAGTATTCGACATGCAGAACAATTTGGAAACCCTTCTGTGAAGTTCCTGATACCACAGTTTTAGTGTTCTTCTTTGGATTGATTCTATTTCATAGTATACATGACTTCTTTATATTGTCTGATTTAAAGGCATTTGAAAAAAGCAAGAACCAAAATTGTTCAGGGCAGAGACAAGCTGCTATGGAATCCAAGAAAACTTCAGAAGTAAGTATGTTCCCAGTCTAAAGGTGTGGGTCTATGGCAATTCAATCATTTTATGTTATTTTATAAATATATACTTAGATATGGATGTTTATTATATTATTATTGTTATTGTTATTAGTACAGTATTGTTATTACATCATCATCATCATCATCATTATTATTATTATTATTATTATTAATTCTGCTGTTCTATATAGACAGTACTCTAGGCAGATTGATTTAAACCTTGGTTTTCTACCCAGGCAGCAACTCAATTAGTTTCAAAAGTTTTACTGCCTTTTAAAAATAAAAATATTATGTATTTGGGTGGTAAAAAATTCCAAAGCCTATTTTCATTATTTTAAATGGAGGAAATTATGCCTTCAAAATATCATTAATTGTTGTGCTTCATTCTGGTGTAGTATAAGTATGATCACACTCAACTTAAAAACAAAAAACAACACCTTAATGATTTTCACAAGTAATTACAATTGTGGCTCCAGCTCCTCATTCATTGCATTCAGGCTTAAATCAAAGTAATGTGTGCTTTGTGGATTTATAGCATCTTATTTTAAATAACAAGAAGAGGAAGATCAATAACAGAAATAATACATTTGCCTAAAAGCAAATGAAATATAGACTGAATTGAATTCACAAAGTTATTATTTCAGGCTGGGTATTGAATATACTGCTGTTGCTTTTTGGAATTTTCAAATGGATCAGCATTTTCCCCTATTTTAACATGTATTTGATAGAAGACTTTTTAAATCTCCTATTGAAAGTGATAATTTTGTAACTGAATGTGTTTATTGTACAGATTCATTTTTATAAGAGAAAGGGATCTTTCAGACTATGAGGCTATTCAAGCCCAAATTGTTCCAAAATAATATCCCCTAGGTGAGACTGACATGCAGCCTCTACACCTTGCCAATCTTGTCCTACCCCTCAGGTTTGCTCCTAAACATATTACTGTTTTTTAAATATTATTTTGGGGATGTTTATTTATGCTTTCTCTATTCTCATTTACAATATAACTTCTGATGCTGGCATTGTAAAATTGCCTTTAGCTGCCCTGAAATCTAATACCCATCAGAGATGGGATCCTTCTCTGATGTTTTTGTATTAGTGGGAACCTAGGTTGCCCATTCTAATAGAGCTAGTGTGACCAAGCCATTCAGAGAAGGCCATTGTTACTACGATTCCCACATGATATCTGCAAAGTGCTTAAGCTGCAGTATCTTCTACTCAGTGAAATGAGATGGAGGAAAGTGCCCTGTATCTACAATGTGATCCCTTGTCAAATTTGATCCCTATGTTGGGAAATGCTCTATATCCATCCTGTGGCTGGGATATGATATAGAACAAGTGAAATATTTAAATGAATCTTACATGTTCCAAGTACTATGATATTTTGGTGAAAATAAACAGAAATACATGATTCTCTTTCTGGTCTGGCACATTAGTGAAGTGTTTGGAAGCTTATGTTGTGTTTATCCCCAAAAATAGTATTTAATAATTTAGTTTTATTTAGTTTTTAAGCTAGTTTATGAATCTAATTGCTTCAATAATCTTTGTTAGGGTTCAGACAACTTTAAAGCTGTTTAATTTGAAACAGAAATAGTTCTTTTGAATGCTGTGGAAGTAGAACAATGGAGAAGTATAACATTTGTAGAGTTCATCACAGGTCATTCTTATAAAACTAAAGAATATAGTGCTATGTTCAAATGTGCCCAAGGGACAATTTCTCTATGAAATAATACTTCACTGGAGGAAAGTAACAATTTAAAAATATTATGTAACATTGTGATCACTACTTTGTAATGCGCCACCATCAGCAGGACTAATTGGACATATCTGATAGTGCCCGATGTACAATTTACATAGGATACTAAAACAGGCTAATTTTACTTACAGTATAATTTTATGGAATCTATTCAAAAGTAAGTACCTCTGGTACCAATAGCATTGTACTTCCAAGTGGATATAAAGCTCAACTCTTAAAGCTTCCATTCTTTAGGAGGAACAAGTGCACTTGAATAACAATAGCATCCTTCAAGATCAGCATGCATCAGATTGCACGTAAGAGAAGTTGTCCATTTAATGCCATGCTTGAGAGTTGGAATTTTCAGATGACTCATATTAAGTAGTAATACCTTGACTGAGCCCTTTTAAAAATCCTCTTAATTTCCTCTAGCTAGAATTTAAGATGGGTAATTAAACAGCCTGTGGTTGCAGCCTTAGTGGAATGAGAATGTTGCCTATTTAAGTGATACTAAAGTGAACTAAAGCTGTTGCAAGCATATGCTAGCTATGGTTAATTTAATTACTGGAAAGTAAGAGCATCCAGAATAAAACATGGCAAGTCACAAATAAACCATCACTTGGTAGGCTTAGAATGCCTTTTAGTAAGGGATTAAAATTATGTTTCTGGAGGAATAGGCACCCATGTATAGAACATATGAAGGTAAATAAATAGCATGTTAAAAGATTTTAACAAAGCTGCAAAATATTATTTTGGTAAATTGTAAAAATGGCTTTAGGATTTTTAAAAATTGTATTGAATACTTTCATCACAGAAAATGTGTATTTTGTTTCCCTTTAATTCCTTGTAATATTGTAAGTGCATCAACATAATTTTAAATATTACAATACTGTATTACAGAAATATTGTGAATATTTTGGATAACTGTAGAGTTTGTGGAGTCCTTGAGGTTCTCTGAGCTTGATTGTTTTCTTTCACAACCAAGCTCAGAGAACCCCAAGGACTCCATAGTTCAACCCTGAGCTACATATATTTTCTTCCATTGGTACTATAGAGTGTGTTTCAAAATATAGATAAGCTTTTAGTTGGTAACTGAAATATGTGATTTTATATATATGTAATATTTTAAGTCAAAATATGTTGCTGGCTGAAAGTAAATCAGATTCAACAATTCGATTTCCAAACACCCAATCAGATTGACATTCAATATAATAGCTTAATAATAGCTTCCAACATTCCACGGGGATGGAAAAAATAAAAATAAAATATTCTAAAGCAGAAGATAACACAACAAAGTTCAATTATTAAACAGTTTCAAACATTTGTAACAGAAATAGAAAGAGCAAGGGAAGAAACTTGGGGGGGTGAAATTTACATTGGAACAATATCTAATATTCAGATTGATATGTTATTTTTACATTATTTAACTGCAAAACTAGACTGGAATCTATTCATTTTTATTTTACTTAGGTCAATGTAAGTTGATTTGTCTTCAACTGAATCATTTTGTTTTTGTTTTTGTAGTGTATATTTACAAAGAAGCTAACAGATATATCATTAGGACAAAAAATTATATCATTAGAAAAGCAGAAGCAGGAGGTAAGAAATATTTTTTGTTGGACTTTGAACCTAAATCATTAAGATTCTCCAAAACACATTTCCTATAATACTTCATGGGTTTGCCTGTGTGGAAGGAGAACTGCACATGGAGAACAAGAGCAATGGGGATGGCGGTTTTCTCTATGACTCATTCCAACCACACAAGCAAGCCTGGCAGGTCACTGACTCAGAAGTGCGTTTCTAGATGCTAAGGACAGCAATGTGCAGTCCAACAGTTACACTTGAGAATCACTTTCATAATCACCAAGTTATTTATAAAAGAGTTACCAGATATCATGTGACTGCAGGTTATATTTTTCTACAAATAAGATACGTAAGGGGCAATCACAAATAATTTCTACAAGGAGGAAGAACGGAAGAAATCTGAAATGTCCAGGGTAGATATATACAGAACTCCCTATCAGATTTTTTTCTGATGACAAAAAAGGAACATGTATAAGAAATGGGACATATAAACAAAGAAGAATGGTCTCCAGTAACTTTAGGAACTGTTTCAGACGGACTACAGCTCAGAATAAATAGGGGCTTGCAAGAGATAATAAAAACAGCAATAATATTTCTTTGGGTATATTAGAGGAAACCCCCCCCCCCCACTGACACTGTGGTCCATTGCAAGGAGAAACAGGTGAATTGATACTGGATAATGGTAATGCAGCAGAACTCCTTAACACCTACTGTGTTTTGTATCTGTCTTTTAGGGGACTGCTCCGCCAAGCTTTCCCCACACTGTTGCATGCTAGATGTTTTCAACTGCAACTCCCAGAATTCTAGCTGGGAATCCTGTAGGTTGTAGAACAACATATCTGCAGAATGTCAGGTTAGGAAGGATGGTCTAAGTAACTCTAAACTTATATATAATATACTACTCATTTTCCATGTGTTATTCACTGCATTTTTTTAATGATCTGATAAACTTATAGTTGTGTGAGTTATTTTCTTCCCATATAATTTTAGTGGCACACACTGTTATATGTTTTGCTTGCAGGAAATTATAGGTATGCTTGATTCTGTCCTATGTATGGACTATATTAAGCATGTGGCTACATATCATTACATAGTTGTGAGCATAATAATACCACATTGTATGTAACTGTGGCACATTATATACATACCACATACACATAATATTTGAAGCTGCTTGTTTGAAACTCCTGTTGGACATTTCTGTACCTGTGGTATAATGAGCAATCAGACAGAGTTTGTAACATTCCCTTTTTTCAAATGCAAGTTTATTTTATTAATTTTCACAGCAAATTAATTTTTTAAAAGTCCTCATTAATAGAGACATTTTGCAAGCATTTCCTTGAATATTCTTTATCTGCATACATTTTCTCTGATAGAAATAGAAAAATAAATAATAATTGTGTTTCAGTGTATACATTATTCAGGAATGATTCACATTAAATATGCAGCCAAATCTTTTGTCTGTGAGACTAGCTCTGCATATTGAAATCCACGGAGTAATTATAACATGTCACCAAGAAGCTGGAGAAAAATATATATCTAATGCTATATTGTGAAATAAAGAACTTTCAAAGATTCAAGGAAACCTACACATCTTGGAAATTCCCACAGGCAGTTTGAGCTGAAAATTTACATTGCTGGAGTACAGTATTGACTCAGCTGCCACTCCCGATCTATTGACTTGCCTTGCAGTTATATTGATTCTTAGGTTTTATCTTCTGTATTACACAGTAGATCAAACATTCTATACCATAATGTAAAACAGTCATGAATTGTATAATGGAAAGGTTGGAGGAAGATAGAATCCATAAGCTTTAAATGGTCTGAGATTTCCATAGTTTAACAACTATATATTTTCCCTAACTCCTCTAAATCTCAGCTGGGGAGGCTTATAGCCAAAGCTTAGACTAGCTGTAAAATCTCATTCTTGCATACGTGTACCCCAAATAATTATTTTAGACAAGAGTATTATGCCAATGATGTTTGAAAAACTGCTTTGCCTTTAATATTATAATGTAGAAGAATGTAAACCCATAATAACATGACAGTTTAAAGATTATATGGTAAAAATAGAGTAAAAATTTAAAAATAATTTGAAAATATTGTACTAAAATTATGCTTCATCATTTCAGCTTTTGTCAGTGAACAATCAATGGGATCAACATTTCAGGCAGATGAAGCAGCATTATGAAAAAAAGGTAAAACAAATAACTGATGTATTGCTGTTTCAAAGTATGATCTGTTTTCTACTATGTAGTTATTTTTCTTTATGAAGTAAAACAGCATAACACCAGGGAAAAAAAGCAGAAAAGAGAAAACAGGACTGCAAAGTGCATAAGGGTATAAGAGTATGTCCTTTCAGGCTAAACGAGAATCACCAGGTATTATTTTGCTATAAAATGGGCAGAAAATCAAGGGTTGGGAATATTCATAATTAATAGTGGCAATAGGTAAGTAAAAGTCTTGGACTGGGATCACAGAGACTCAGGTTCAGGTCCCCATTTGACTGTGGAGCTCATGGAGTGATTTTAGGTCCATCATAACCTCTCAGGCCACCTAACTTCACACAATGTTTTCCGGAGAAACCTGACATTTCTGCCATCTTCAACCCCTACAGAAAACGGGGATATACATGTAATAACAGTAACAACAACAGTAACGTTGTCTTTTATATTTGCTTTGTTAGTGGCAGAAAAAGTGTACTTTTATTTCATCTGCCCCATTGTCATTTCCTGCATTCCAACCTTAGATTAACTGACTACTTGTTTCTTTGAAACCCCAAAGGCTGGGAAATAATAAGAAAACATGGCAGCAACCAGGGCATTTTGGGCTACTTCTGTGGGAGCCATGAGTTTTCTTCCAACGGTGGCTCAGATGATATACCTTCAGAAGTATACCTTGGAGGAAAAAAAAATGGCATCTCCACCACTGGCAAGCAAAGGAACAAAGGAGGAGCTGATGTTGTAGCAACTGTTGAATATCCTTTGAACGCTGCCATTGACAATGCTCAAATGACCCCATTGTGAAGAGGGACTCACAAAGCTATGTGTTTTCATTTCTAATCCCACATTAGGGATTTGAGTAAAGGGCCAAAAGCAGGAAAATTACTATTTTAGTAACTCAAATGCTAACAAGCTAAGCAAGTTTTCAATGTAATTTGCATACAACATCTTAACAGTCTTCATAGGATACATTTAAGATTAAGGTGTAATTTATACTGTAAACATTCAAGGGGTTGAGGCAGAGAAGTAGCCTAGGGAGTTTTGTGACCTGAAACTGGGATTTTTCCTTCTACAACACAGTCATTCTGTCAGCTATGCATAAGCTTGTTTCCAGTATTGGTTGATTGTTAAATCTTGATCTGGCATCCTAGCTCTGGACTAAAATACATTTCACTGCCAGTGGTTTCCCTTACATTCGTGAATGGACTGTTGTGTTTTCCAATCACTGCTTCCTGCTGGAACATCTTAGAATAAAATGATATATATCTTACAACTTAGTTTTGTGTCATGTTGCAGGTCACAGAAATGGAAGCAAAACTGGAAACAGTGCAGAAGATTGTTAGGGATCTTGAACGAGAACGGTATCAAACGCAGCAAGAGTGCCAAAGGCTGGAAGACCTGATGAGAAACCAATTAGCACAGGAAATGGTAGGAGAGCTGGATTGTGCAAATATTTTTATTAGGCCTGGTTTCTACTATTCATTGTTCTAGTGTTTGTGTTTAAATGTGATACTTCAATGTCTTGCTCAGTTGAAAAGTGACTGAAATAGCAAGGAGTTACTTTCACTTGTATTTCTGTGGCCTGGAGGGGAATCAGTGTCTATTTATAATGCATTCACTTTACATATATAGAGGTACTTCTTTTAGTTCCTGTTTGTTTCTTTATTTATTCTCAATTTATAAAACTAGAGCTACTTTGGTCTAGTGGTTAAGGCACCAGGCTAGAAAGCAGGAGACTGTGAGCTCTAGTCCCACTTTAGGCATGAAAGGCGGCTGGGTGACCTTGGGCCAGTCACTCTCTCTCAGCCCAACACACCTCACAAGGTGGTTGTTGTGGGAAAAATAGGAGGAGGAAGGAGTATTAGGTATGTTCTCTGCCTTGAGTTATTTATAAAAATAATAAAGGCAGGATAAAAAATCTAAAAAAACCCTCTATATTGCTTCAATCTATCACATTATAAATAGTGTACCACTGAAAATTGACCTCATAAAATAAAGGAACAACAGTACATAACAAATACATCTATCATCCAGTTAAAAGGCTCAAGGGATGAAAAGCCTTATTCCACAGATCCTTGAGAATATTTGCTAGTAAAGGACAATAGCAGGAAAGAATAGTCTGATCTCAAAAAGTAATTTCCTATCCTTCATGTTCTAAAAATTATTAAACAATGTTATTTTATGTCAGACTTTTGGCTTCTCAGAGAGCAAAATGGCATCTGGAACACAGTGGAGTGGCTGCAGAAATTAGTTCCAGTTATAAGTATTGATTCTGAACCAATTTAAGATATTTTATCTTGCTTTTCTGCCAAGAGCAGAATTCTGCTTAAATTCTGCCAATTTGAGGTATTTTAACTTGCTCTTCTGCCACATTTGAATAAGTTTATGTACAACAACAAAAAATATAATCCCTTCCTGATTGCCTAATAGGATTTCAGCAGAGCTGGGAAAATAGCCCCCACCCTACTAATCCTAAGTAATATTTATTGAAGGAATAAGTGTACACCATTCTTTATATACCTTAGGGAAAGTGTATGCACACATGTTTTCACACTCTCTTACATGTTTTTTTCCTCCCCCGCTCTGCCAGACAACTACTTGGCTTCCTCTTTTGAGTGGGCTGGTCTGTCATTTTTTTTTTGTAGTGGTCAGATTTATTGTTGTCTTGTTTTTCTAGTGATTGTGAGAATTAACTCTCAGAACTGTAAGCAAAGTGCCAGTCTCCAAGATCATCTTTCTTTACAAGAAATCCTTTGGGTCCCAAATTGATCCTTTTGGCCTTCTTGGAAAAAGAGGAAGTAGATGGCCCAACCCTACCCAGAAAATGTGAGAAAGCATCCTGGGGTGCTAGGGAGGCTGGGGAGCAGCTTGATCAGATTGCTTCTAGTAAATTTTGATATTCCTATGCTCAAGATAGTATTTTCAAGGGTGGCTTCAGCAACATCTCAAAATTTGCCAAATTCTTAAAAAAAAATTGAGGCAAAAAGTCCTCCAAACTGCTTGCCCATTCTGTGCTAATTCTGGCTGCAGGTGTCATTCATCTGACTGAGTGACCCTTTATAAACAATAATTGCCTCTTAGCCCTTAAAGCTAGCAAGTCAGGGAGAAAGCTAAACACTTTTTCTTGACAAATGCTGGAAGGTATTATCTGTATGGATGAATATTAGATTGGATGAGATTTGGGTGGTTCCATCCTGACAAAGGAGAGACTGTCTTTAAGTGTAATTTCCAGTCTCCTGATTTCCAGGAAGGGAGATTTCATATACACATGAAAGAGGTTCATCAGGTAAAACAAACTTTACCTTTAAATCATTCACATTTACGCTTTATTATCTGAGTATCAGTCCCTATGAGGCTCATATAGCACTATCTGCACTATCTGCACACAAAAATAAAAATGTCTGAAGATTGGAGGAACCCTAGGATTTTCAGAAACACAAAAAATATTTTAGAAACACCCTTCAAGAAAACCCCTTCCTGTGGAACAATCCAGCAGACTAAGTGTACCCAGGGGACATAGAAGGGTGACTGGTTACTGACAGAAAATGGGTGGGAGTGGGAGGTAAAGACATTGTTATTTTGCACACGCTCCACACGTAACATTTACTTGTAGATCCCAGGTGTTTTTGTTTCTTTACTTTTTAATTTTCCATGCTTTGAGATTGAAGAATGATACAAGTTATATAAAAATGATAGCAAGATTGATTTCCCACAAGATATCATAGCTTTACCTGGGAATTGGGATGGCTCTAGCACAATGTAATAAACTTCACTGTCTTTGGATGGTCACTTATTCCAACAACAAGAACAGGCAGTACTTTTAGATGTGAGGGGATAATCTCTATATTTCTTCAGCTATATTGCACAATTTATGGCACGTATGGGCCACAGAGAGACGAAGAAGAAATCAATAAATTTTATCACACTTTACAGTTTCAAGGATGAGCTATGCATTACTTCTGGTGTTGTTTGTTTCTGAAATGTTTGCAATAAAAACATAAAGTAATATGTTAGGCAAAGGGGACAAATTCAATCATCTGTACTTTACTGAAGTACTTACATATTTTTCATTCCAGAAAGACAAGTACACACTGAGGAAAGAGAATAGGTTTTTGAAACAAGAAACTGCCCTCACAAACACAAAGAAGATGTATTATGAATGTGAAATAAAGCGACTCAACCAGGTAGGGATCACTTTTGTTTTAGCATTTATACATTTATGCTTAAAAACCATATTCATCAGTTTTATCCACTTGGCAATATCTCATTGTAGAATACGTGAATTTATCATGCCTACATATAGGCTCATGCTATTCTCATTCATGGTAAGAAAAAGAATAAAAGAAGGTACAGGAATTAGGAAAAGAAAGGGAAATATAATTAAAGTAGGGCTGACACCTACTGGACCGGGAGTCTTTCAAACAGCTATTCATGTGTTAGTCCCCTTGTGTATAGACTACTACAATGTGCACTATATGGGACTCCTTTTGAAAATCATTTGGGGGCTGAACTGGTGTCAGGCCCACTTGGTAGATCATACCAGGAAATCACCTCCACAGGAAAATAGAATTACTTTTATTGAGATTGGCTATAATAACAGAATCTTGCAAGTCTGATTGTGCTGTACTCTTCCCCCTCCTTATACTCCAATGAACCATGGAGGCATCAGTCCAAGCCACTTCTGAATATTATTTCATTTTTCCACGACTTAAAAATGTTCAGCCCCTTTTGCATAGGTAATTGTTCTTGTACATTTCCATTAAGATCACCTTCCTTACTCTATAAATCCGATGTAGAATGCCTTGGCATGGACAGCTGAGGGCATGCCATGTGTCAGCCATTAATAGAATCTTGAAAGCCAATATAACTTCTCTTTCCCTCCCTCTTGTACCAAAGAGACTCAAGGTGGGACAATCTTGAGTTTTTTCATCATCCCTTCTGTCTTTCCAGGCTAAGCACAATGGTTTCCAGGCTTTTCACAATGGTTGTTCCATACCTTCTTCAAGACTGTCTCTGTTCTCCTCTGCACCATATCATGCCCGTGTAACACCTTTGTTTCATGAATTGCATTGGTTATCAGTAGGCTTCTGGATAAGAATCAAGGTGCTGCTTATTACCTATTAAAGTCCTTAATGGCATAGGGTCTGATTATCTAAGGAGTCTTTCTCATAGTTTCTGTCTGACCTGTATGAACATAAAGTCCAGTAGAAAGGCTTTTTTAAAAAATGTGGATCACCCCAATGCTGCTTTTTTTCACATTAATTATCCTTGTGCAGGCTTTTTAAAACCTAGATTTTCATGTGGATTTTTGAATAAATTGGTATATTCTGTTCATTACTGGTTGGGCATTTTTCATGAATTTCATAAATCTACTAGATATGTCCTTTTATACCCCTAATTTAGACTGGAATATACAATAGGGATTGTAAACATTCCAGTTTTTTTTTTTAATAGCATCAGCTATTTTAATACAATGGTACCTCGGGATATGAACGCCTCTACTAATGAACTTTTCGGTTATGACCAGCTCCGGCCGTAAAAATTTACCTCGATGTGCGAACTCTGCCTCGGGGTACGGTCATTTTTCTGCCCTGACACGTGGTCCGTGGCCATTTTCCCACCCCTGACACGTGGTCTGCGGCCATTTTCCCACCCCTGACACGTGGTCTGCGGCCATTTTCCCACCCTGCTGCGCGGCGCCCAGCCGTTTTCCCATCCCTCTGCGCTGCGCCGCGCCCGGCTGTTTTCCCGCCACGCCATGCCACGCCCGGCCGTTTTCCCGCCCTGCTGCGCGGCGCCTGGTCGTTTTCCCAGCCCTGACGCGTGGTCCGCAGACGCCAGAATGGATTAACGGTAATTACATTGAACCTTATGGGAAAATTTGCTTCGGGGTGTGACCAAATTCGG